GACACTAACTGCATGTAGGTCCGTTGGGTGCGAGGGGCCCCGCTGGGATTCCAGGCATACCTGGACAGAATGTGAGTACCTTTCACTGAATATTGATCAGTAAATGAGGAAGTCCTCATTAATATGCATCCTTGTCTTTGACACAAGGGCAAGGACGGCGACCCCGGCGAGCCTGGGATTCCTGGACCGAGAGGTGACCCAGGGCAAACGGTGAAGCTGATTCATTCATTCAAATGTTTGTTTTAGGATCCCTTCTGCGGCTGAACAAATTGATTAGATATTATTTCTTAGTAAATGCTCCGTGATGTCATGTGATCCGAAAGGTGAAGCGGCTTTTCTTCAAAGGCTCGCTCCAGTCCGTGACTAATCCACCCCCCCGACCCCTCCTCGGGCCCCTCTTTGTCCAAGGCCACTCCGCTCCCCTCTCTTGTGGGCCTCTAGCTTTAAAGCTGATCCCAGTGCAGTGATTTAAGACCGGAGGTCTGCTGAAGACCAGGACGAGTGTATAAGAACACGGGTGCTAAAATATCTGCTCTCTTTTTCTTTATTCCTCCATCCTCCAGGGGCCTCCTGGAGGAACAGGCGAGCCGGGCCAAGCTGTGAGTATACACTTTCAGCGTTATATGAAGCAAAAACAATAAAGACATGACAAGATGATTGTGTCGTTCTTTTACAGGGACGACCGGGGCTCAAAGGAGAGCCAGGTGAAAGCTTCAATGACGTAAGAAGCATTTCCTACTCTACTTACATTTACAACTGTACATCCAAGTGTATTTACACTTTTGACAAAATAGTAGAGTAACGACTCTAAAATAGTCACCATTTTACCAGAATGAAATTTCAATATTGTGTGGATAAAAAAAAAAAAAATCAAGGACAGATTTATACATTAGTTGTCCTGACCTAGAACAATATGAATCACATTACACAATGTACAATCATACCTGTACAAGAAAAGTTAGTATTTTAAAAGCTGCAATACACCAAATTAAAATTATTGTATTATTTAGAACAGGGGTGTCAAACTCATTTTTGTCGTGGGTCACATTTTAGTTACCGTTTCCCTTGGAGGGCCGCTATGACTGAAACCAAATAAAAAAATAAAAAAAAAGTCAATGATAACAATTTATTCAACTGTTGTTTAAGTTACTGTAATGAGGGGTTTGGTGACAAGAAAATGGTTACAATATGTCTTATTTATTACCTATGAGAATTTTAAATTTCGGTAGAGATTTTCGCGAGCATCATGGAAGTTAGCATGTTTGATTTGCTTTCGCGTGCCACATAAAATGAGGTGGCAGGCCAGATCTGGCCCCCGGGCCTTGAGTTTGACACCAGTGATTTAGAACTTGAATATATTACATGACAAAGGTGATAAAAAGACCATTTGACGTTGCAAAAATTAATCTACAAGAATACTGGAATTATTTTTCTTACCATTACATTTTTTAAAAAAGTACCGGTACTGCTAGTATTTTTACAACAATTAAGTCCTACTGTTGCAAGAATAAATGCACGATATGAGAAAAGACTTGTGTGGAACACACTCCCCTGTTAATTTTGACATTCTGAATTCAAGCCTGACGCGATCCCACAACTCAGGGAGGCTTTGAAGATCCTGGCCGAGCGGGTCCTGATCCTGGAGCACATGATCGGCATACATGGTGAGCTCGAAGCCAACAACTCACAATTTATTTTCCCTTCATTTAGCAGAAAATTGACATTCGAGAGTCAACTGGTATTTGTGCAATGGAACGTGAACACGCGCTTATTTCAATAAACGAAAACCAGGATCCAAGAAAGAAAAAAAAAAGCGGGAGGTCCCACAAACAGCTGAATTTGTAAATGCCGAACCGCAAACATGCTGGAGTCAATTTTACATGAAAATGCATTGTACTTAAATTTCAAATACAGCTGAACTATATGTAATGTATTGTACTGGATGAAAAAAAAGGCCAATGTAACATGATTGACAGTTTTTTTTAATTCAGTAATTCTTTCACACACCACCAGAGGGACCCTGCACAACGCAAACTCTTTGTGCAGGCTCTTAATTTTATATTTGATTTATTTAATGTACCGGTAGTTGTTGTTATTATGTTGGTATTTAGTATGTGTTTTTTATTGTGGCTTTTTAAAATGGGTTATTTGTCTCTTATCGTAATATCAAAGCATCCGGTGTGACTGAGGCGTCCTTGTCTCCGCACAGGAATCCCAGAGGGATCTGGTTATGGTGTGGTTAAGGACCCCCAGTCCTCTACACTGAGAAAAACTAAACGCCGCCAAAGTGGTCCCAAACCCACACCGGCAGGGATACAACAACCATCTCCTGTTTAAGGCAATCACAGTGTATATTTTTGGCTGGATATTTCATTTTATTTTTCTCCTCACATTTTTATTGCCTTTTTATCGCCATAAATATCTGAGTGAGTTCAATATAATACTTCATAGTTCCTTTTTTGGCGCGGCTGCAGCAGGATTTCAGTCTACACATGTGTAGTAGCAGCGCTTACATTGTGTCAGACGGTGAAATATAAGCCCATAAAGTGTTATGAGGGTCTTGGCTTCTTTCTTTCCACAGATAAAAGACGGCCTAGTAAACACATCAGTTTCGCTGGCTTGCGCTGGCAAAGTTCCCCAGGCTGCGATAGGAGAGTTTCCTAAGAGCCGGGGCCCAAAAACGTACTGTTTAGTGTCGAACATTCTCTCGCAGCATCCTCGCCATTCATCTTGTACCGGCTTGTCAAGCAAATTTCTTTCTTTTTTTCTTTTTAACTTTCTTCTCTGCATCGTTAAGGCCGAGGTAAGACATGAGAGGCTGCCAGCAGCGTCTGCTTAAAATGACAAGTTTGCTTTTTGGAGTCTACATCTGGAGAACGCACATCTGGGAAGTAATTTTTTTTTCCCAACTTCTTTTCTTCTTTCACAACCTGACAGCATTACATCTTCGTAAACGCCTCAGAGGCCGGCCGCATTGCTATCTCAAGTCCCTCACATAATAAACTTAGATGACATGCTACGTCCAGTGAAAAGAGCAATATGTGTTCACGTGTGAATCATATTTTCAGTTAAAGTGCATTTTTATGCTCTGACCATGTGGAAATGACACAGGAAAGTGGGGACATCGTGTAAAGTGGAATCCTATTTCTGTTTCACATTGTGACAAAAAATATCCAAAATGATTTGTATTATTTCTCAATGCATTCCAATATGCAGTCTTTTGGAGTTCATTGAAATACAGTAATGTAGCCCAATTTGGACTCATTTTGGGCTTAGGTGTATGTACTTGAACTTTATTTGACAATAACATGTGGCACAATTATGACAAATACACACTCTGCTTCAGTGATGAGAAGTGTGTGTCAAGGCCACTACATTAGGTATGCTTGTGATCCTCTCCTTTTTTTTTTTAAAGCAATGAAGTCTGCTATTTCAAAGATCAAACATGGTCAATATTACCGCAATTTTAATGGATGTAATGTATCTTATTGTTTGACAATTTGTTGCACTTCTCACCGAGTTACCGATAATTGAACTTACCAAAATATTTGAAACACCCACTCACTACATTTCTAAACCACTGCAATATATGCGCACAATAATACATGTTAAATTAATATCTCAGTCACTGAATTTAAGCCAATAAAATGTCCAGTGTATGGAATGTACCCTGTACACTAAATGGGCTGTCATTTTTCTGTTTACATCTTTCCATAAAAAAAATAAATAAATCTTACTCTGACTTGAGTTTTTTTTTTCTTGACTCTTCTAACCGGGCTGGTGATTGATTAGTTAAGTCTGGCTCCATCTTGAAATTTTCTTTCAGATTTAATTTTGTCCTCAACATGTGGATCTCTGATGATCACAGAGAATAAACGCCCTCCTACCTCAAATAGACTGCTGCCTCATCCTATCAGGGAAAAAAAAAAGATTAGTAGCTGCTAACCGAAGGAGGTAGCAAAGGAAGCCCACTGTGGACGGTACCCTTGAGCAGAACCAGATGCGGCAGTTCAAAGAGGTTCAATACAGTTTGTGTGGTGGTGAGAGTATATCAGGTATGACTGGCTGTCTCTCTCCATTTGTGGAGCTGCAACATCTTGCAGGCCTCCACGTTCATGGAACACATTTTGGTTCCACTGTTTGTTTTTCTAATTCATTAACCTGAGTAGTTGTTACTGTTTGTTTATCTTTGAAAATGAATGCAAAATGTTCACTAATATAAGACAGGCGAGACAAACAAAAAAAAACGATTGCACTTCTTTATCTTCTTTATCTTACCTAAGCGTAATACACAAAACTTGAAAAAAACTTAACCCACGTTTGAAATGTGAGAGTCCCCAGGTTGAGGAAAAGAAATCGGCATGTGGCGAGGTGACCAACACAGCACGTGTAACAATTCCTGTCGTAGTACCAACCTTGACCTCTAAGAGGCAGCGTGGTACCACAGCGCATCCAGACTACTGAAAGATACAAAGAAGAAGAAGAATTAGCTACATCGTAAAAAGATTTTGGTTGCAAAAGCAGCTCAAATAATTATTTGTGAAAAGTAGATAGAACTAATCGAGCGTTGAGTAACTGGTAATTTTATTTATTTTTAAAGTAGCGCATGTACATGAAATTAAAAAAAAATACGAAACGCAAATTCAAATACTGTCCAACAATATCACTTTAAAACCATACTATTTTTTTTCATCTAAAATAACCCAAACTAAGGCAAATTCTACCTCAGCAAAAATGACCCTAAACCAACGTATTTGTTAACACGTGAAATTGCACAATCGGCTTACCATGCTAATTGTGTTTATATATATACAGTATATTCATACAGCTGGGATAGGCTCCAGCCCCCCCCCCCCCCCGCGACCCTAGTGAGGATCAAGCGGTTCGGAAAATGAATGAATGAAGGAATATATATTCCTTTAAAAAAAGTGAGTTCTCCCAATTTACATTTTTATCTTCACTGCTCTGCACGCATTGAGGACTGTTTTTGGGGCAAATGCTGATGATGCATGACGGATGCTGTTTTTTATCGAAGTCCATTCATTCAGTTTTCTGTAACCAATCTTGAAGGTAAATATACATTTCTGCCATGTTTCACATAAATGGGTCATGTTAACATGTGACTACCTGGCTCCATTTGATTGCTGAAACCGAACCATGTGACAAAAGTCTCACCAGCAAACCAAAATAACTCCCCAGCAAAAATAAATACCTGAAGATAAAAACACAAATAGCAATGTAGCTCAATATAACTGCGTAAAATGAACAGGTTTAACATTGTTGGGCCCAACTGATTGGAGAGGGGCGTAGGGGGGAAATCACTCAATCACTCGCTGACTTTGACTTTGCAATGGACACAACACAAAATGTTCACATTTTTTCAGATTGTCAACATCGCCCTCCATAAATAGTGTAACTTTCCTTTTCTTTGCTTGTGCATTACAAATATTATTAGTAAGCCAACAAGGCTTCCTTACATTTTGCTATGAAGTGACCTAGATCAGATGAATCTCAGCATATTTGACCCAGAAGGTGTGAGAGTACGAGTGTGACTTGGCTCCACGCTGATGCACAGACACTAGCAGGTATGACTGGTTGTGTGTGTGTGTATTCACATCTCCTCTGTCGCTTAACTGCAGTCCATTTCAATTCCTCTTCTCCTGCAGGATTGAATATTACCTTTTCGGCAGCTGACAACTTTCGAGGAGCTGAGGTGAGTCGTTGCCAAGCAACAAGGTGAAAGATTGAATTTATCAATATGAGATTCAGAGGTGGTGGTGGGGGGGAAATACTGTTAAAGAGGGTGATGGTGTGCTGAGATGAATACTCAATTCTAAAGCATTTTCAGTAGATTTAAATCCATGCCTCCTTTCACCCCCCAACCCCCTTTTTTTTTTTTTTTGACTAACCGTGCTGTTCATATGACCCCCACGGGCTGGAGACCCTCTAATCTCATTTGTACGGCAACAGATGTTTCTCCTAAAAACATCCGCCGACTGGGGAGTTTAAAGTGGGACCGGCAGATGAAAGCATCCCGTCGGCAGACATATTGACTTGCGGTACGCTTATGGAGCACTCCCACATAAACATGTCCGCTCTACGGCTCACGGGTGGAATAACACAGTGGTGCCTTGAGATATGAGTGACTCAACTTACAAGTCGTTTGCATGATTTTTTTTTTTTTTTACTTCCAAGAAAAAATTCGGACGAACGAGCGCTGTATGAGCAGTGAATTCAACTTACGGTACTTCATATCAAGTTTGGAAGAAAATGAACAATTCTTCAAAAAGAGGCTTTCTGCTATTTATTTTCTTTATCCTCTGCAGAAAATGACTTTGGGGCGGGGGAGGGGTGGGGGGCGGGGTAATGCCTATTCCGATATTTGGCAGAATAAAATTCTGCTGATTGATGACTCACCTGATTAATTCTAAATATATATAAACAAGACAATTTTGGGGTCATTACAGCTTACAACAACAAAGATATGAATAACCTGCAAAACATTTGACTGTTTTACAATACTTTGTCCTTGCATATTTGTTGAACTTCAAAACATAGTAAAATCAAATGATTTTTTTTTTTTGGGCAATTTTGTTTGTTTGTTTGCATTGTTTGAATGTCATTTTTTGTCTTATATTGTGATGGGTTAATGTAAAAAAATAAAATAGGTTAAAAAAATTGGCAGATTTTTAAAGAGCTGACATCAGCTGATTAAATTGTCTGGCCAATTTATCGATTGGACCCTAAATATAAGAAGTAGAACAACAAAATATAGGAGCTGCTGGAAATCGATTGGACCCTAAATATACTGCGGTCACTCACAGTAGTTTTGAAAGTCTTCTTCGTTTATGACTTCATGACAGTCTTGTACTGCCTCCCGGTGGCGAACTCACACACAGGTAAAAGTTGCGATGAATTAATCATAATGCACAACCATTCGTAATTCTTTTTATTCAACTTAATTGTGTTCTTATTTTATGAAGAAATATAGAGTGATATTTTCCTAATTAAAACACGGTACAATTTTTTTGGTTGGTTTTTGGGAGGAGGCTGGAATGAATTAATGGCATTCCCATTCATTTCAACACGAAATCATGATCCAAACATGGCCACCGCAACAGGAGTTTTCATATTCTTGTCCACGCGTACCAAAAGCAAGTAAATCCCATGCATAGGCACAAAGGCGACAAATAAAAGCGTGCCGCGCAGCAATCTGACGGTTGGTTTCCCATGACTGTGTCTCGCCGGCCCATGGACCTTCCACTCTGTCTCGCTGATGGCTCCTGTGTGATTAGGATCATCCATCTTACTGTCAAAGGCAACAAAAAAGGGCAAGAAAGGGGGAAATCGCACACATACACATCGTCACACGCGCTCACCGTCCCTAGCGTCCGGCAAACAAGCGAACGCAGTGTGCGAGCAGAGGTAAACAACAGGCCGCTTCGATTGGCTTTGTATCGGGAACGGGCGTGGGCGTGCATCTTTCGGGGTCGTCCGCGGCTGCCCATTATACTGCATGATCAGTCGCTGGAGTGTACATGGGGGCAGGAGGGGTGGGGCGACATGTCTGATCTTGCAGCTGATCAAAAGGCACCAGAGACTTGCTCCCTTGTGGCCGGGCAAGCAGGGCCTCATATCAACATGTCTCTGTTCAATAGACAGGAAAAACAAGAAGAAAGGGAAGGGGAAGGGGGTGGGGGTTTGATTGGTGGGGGGGTTGGGAGACGTATGGGCAAAAAGCACAGATGAAAGGATAGCGAGGGAGGCCCGACGACAGTATACAGGATGACAATAATACATAACTGCGCTTGTATGTTTGTTGTCTCTGATGAGGCTTATTAAGACATCTGTTAATAACCTCCATGACAGGAAATTGTTGTTCGCCTTTAAACATTGTGTGTAATGTAATCACCACATTTCCTCAAATAGTGGCCTTGGGTGTTTATTTACTCAACTACAAATGGGGGTGGGTATACATAAGGGCTGCTGATCAAGGTTCCAGGTATTACTAATAACGGACTGCATTATTTCAAATTCAAATCGACTGCAATTTATTTTTAAGGGTAAAGTACCAAGATGAGTTTGAAATTATGTTGAAGTGTTGTGAGTTCAGTTTGTGGTACAATTATAGTTTACAATTAGAACTGTGTCAATGACTGGTAGTTTTTCCAAATTGGCTGCAGGGCTCTATCCCAGTCCCCTGAAAGTAGCGGGGGGGTTTTGTTTACTGTATGCTAGCAGTCCACTCCTCAGGACTCAAACCATCGAGTCAAGTCCCGGACCACGTGGGTGCGTCCTATGTTCTTCCTTAGTGCCCTGCAGGCGGTGCAGTAGTGTTCTCCCCAGAAGGCGGGCTGGCGCAGTCCAAAGCCCGTTCTCCAGCGCAGGTGCCCCAGCAACCGTGCCGGGTCCCGCCTGAGCGCCAGCAGGTACAGAGCCAGAGCTTTGACCGAGGGGAAGTCATCCACGTGGATGAAGGCCTCAGGCGGCAGGAAGCGCTCGTAATTCTTCCGGGTAGGACCCAGGACCACGGGCACGGCTCCCGCCAGTACAGCGTTCCACAGCTTCTCTGTGATATAATCTGTGTGTTGCGAGTTCTCCAGGGCTAAATAGAAGTGGTAGTGCTTTACCAGACGCACCACGCTTCCGAGGCCTTCCGGAATGCTGTGTCCAGCTCGGCCAAACACGTCCACCTGGATGTATTGGCTGAGCTGGTAGTAGAAGGCCACGCGGGCCTGCGAATCCACCCAGTTGCTCACCACCCACGCTACCAATCCAGGACGAGAAGTTCTCGAAGGTTCTGAGAGTGGCTGCCCGCCGCCGTGCTTGTGGACCAGGTAGCCGTATGGGAGGAAGATGTCAGAGTCGGCGCGGTAGGTCATGGTGAGATTGAAGCGGCCCTCCAGGCGCCACAGGTCTGGCGTGTGCGAGGGTGACTCATAGTTCAGCCATATCCACTTCTGCCCCGACGGCCGGCCCACTTCCGGCGGCAGCTCGGCGGTTCCCGCGGCGACATCGCGGTGGTGCACGAGCACGCCGTCGGCGCGCGCGTACTCGAACCGGTCGTCAGTCAGCACGCAGCCGTCAACGCCGTAGCGTGCCAAACAATCCGGAAGTGGCCGCTTCCGCCCGAACGGATGAGTCCAAATCAAGAGCGTCACCTCGGGAGCTGTCGTTGCCGGCTCCAGCGCGAGCGGCTCCGGTAAGTGGGGCAAAGAAAATCCCAGGAGGACGAGGAAGGCGGCAGCCACTAGGCCCGCGGTAAGGAAGTGGCAATCACATTTGCACGAATCGGGGCGCCTCTTGGAGCATGCGCGGGTCCGTCGAGCCCAAACTCCCATAGGTGCCCTTCACCCCCGATCACCAGCTCACCTTGGAGTCTTCATGGCAGCCTTAAGCCTCGAAAAGCTTTAATCCGGCTCGCATTGGTCCAATCGAGACGCCGACACTTGGACGTGGCAGGGCGCTGGCGGGTTCCTGGTGCCTGTCAATGAGCCTTCTGTGACGTCCACACGGCCTCCCTGGCACTTGGAAACTGAGTAAACATCTCCACGGCAGCTCAGGAAATAAGTAACTTTTTATGACACGTTTATCAGGTACACTTAGATTGTACCTTTGAGTTTACGCAAAGATCAGGTTCGAATAGTTACAGTGTACAGGAGGGACGCCACCCCCACTGTGCCCCAAAGTCTCTTAACGGTACTTATTCTCTGATTTCTATCGTCCTTCATGAAAGCACACTGATTATCGTTTGTGATTAATCAATATAAGGCATTTGCAAACAGATGATTTTTTTTTGAGAAACTACTGACCTAACCAGTAACTGAATCATTTTAGAAAAGGTTGGCGAGTACGTCAATCCCTCTCATCTGACATTGCTTAATTGTTGATTAGTTATTTTTTCCATCACTAAACAATTCCAAATAAACAACAATAATTGGTTAATGAACAGTAATCAGGAAAAAAAAAGTGCAATACACTATAATGCAAAAAAATGTTAGCCTTTTTTTGATTAATCGGTGGAATAATTAGTAGAATGATCAATTCCAAAAATAATCAAGAGTGGCAGCCCTAGAATTAATAGTTTCATGGCATTGTCTGGTTTTATCTGACTTTGCCCAATCAGATGCACTGTGAAATGTGCACCGCCATCCAGTAGGAGAACACCACTAGAACTAACACAAAATCACAAAAAAATGTTATTACAATTAATTAGATTAGAACATATTGAGCCTGCTTATTTTGCAGCATTAAAATAATAAAAATGTCACTTCTTCAGGTACATGTTAAATATCGCACTATTAAGAAATTCTAACATTCAATCCACGTATCACAATACCGTATCTTTTTCCAATACTGTATTTGGGCAGCCCTAATGTTGATGTTAAGAATCACGGAAATTGAGCACAAAAATAAAGATCCACCGAATAGAGTTATTATATTATCATTACCCTCATAATAAATGTTCAGATTCACAGCAATCATTGCAAATCTGGAATCAACAGATGCAAAGTTATGTATGTGTAGTCCATATGTAGGATATAAAACTTGCATATTTTACTAATGTCTTTATAAACATTGAATGTTTTAAAAACATATTTCGCATTATATACTTATAACATTTTAAAACATCATACATTCACATGTGTATTTATTTCCAAGCTTTTAAAAAAATACATTTACTATAATTTTATATATTTAATATTGACTTTCAAAAAAAAAAAACACTTGTGCATATATTTGTTTAAAAAAATCGACTCTTTCTGAAACATTAAAAATGACCTTAATCGCGAATGGCTTGTCCTCTAATAGTACAGTTTGTCTACCACTGGGTGTCTCCATACACAAAGCTGTGCTGTGGACGGATTTCTCCGACTTGGCCTCAATGAGCCACCAACCTGGTGCAGTTTTTCAGTGAAGTGACACTGTGGGATTATATTGGGGGTGGGGGGTAGGGAAACCATGCATTATTAATTTTGCCAATAAATAAATATTCTGAGCTTTGAATTAGGCATGTTTTGCCGCCACACTTTGAAATGTGCGATGTTTTATTCAGTTCTGGAAAACAAATCCAAACATAAAAACTTGGTTTGAATTAAGAGGCCAGAAAGAAAAAGTAGTTCCACATGTGAGGTTGTTGTACTGATGGTGTGAA